CATCTTCTCCTGTTTATTCCTACCACCTCAGATTAGGCCCTGTTTTACACATGTCTGGCTCTTAATAGTCTTCTTATCTCCCAGTCTTTCCCCTATTCTTCAGTGGTTTCATATTCCCGTGCCTCAGTAATCTTTTCAAGTCACAGTACTCAGCATGTGCCTCCCCTGCTCTAGAATCTACGGTACTATTTTCCACTATCCACTGGATCAAATCCAAACTCTTGGGTCCTAGCTTTCATGGCTCCACCTCACACCACCTTCTTCACGGGCCAGTCACACTCATCCACTTACTTAATACAACACACACAGGAGCAAGGCTGTCAAGCTAATCATGCCCCATCTACCTTCTCTCCTCTCCAATCCAGACAGGTTCTTCCTTGTGCTCCTTATCAGCTATCCATTTTTTGCTAAATCTATGCTACTTGCCCACTGAAATGACCTTTCCACTCTGCTCTGCTTTTTCAAATACTATTAACCCTTTTTTAAGATTTTATTTATTTAGGGGCACCTGAGTGGCTCAGTCAAACATCTGCCTTCAGCTCAGGTCATGGTCCCAGGGACCTGGGATCGAGCCCCGCATTGGGCTCCCTGCTCAGCAGGAAGCCTGCTTCTCCCTCTCCCACTCTCCCTGCTTGTGTTCCCTCTCTCACACGCTCTCTCTTTCTCTGTCAAATAAATAAATAAAATCCTTGAAAGGGAAGGTACAGGAGCATAGATGGAAACTGGAAGAATCCTGGGGTACCTCTTTGTACTACCACTAGCAGTGAAGTTACCAGTAAACTACTGCTACCCTACACAGGCAAGACCTGTAAGGGCTCAAAGCAATCAGGAATAAAAATTTGTCTGACTCCAAAGTCCATACTCTTTAACATGCCACTTTCTACTGATATCAATCTACTTGCAACTCCTTAATCAAGAAATGCTCCCTCTCATTTCCATGCCTTGTACCTGTTAGTTCGTATCAACCTTCCAACTGAAAACTTCTAATTATCCTCTTTGAAACTTTCTCTGATTCCTAGAGGTTAGTCCCAAATATCCTGACATAATACTCCACAATGTCTTAATATGAAATATACTCTACATGCTTACTGGTTTTTCCCACTAGCCTGTAAAGCTTCTAAATGGTAGAAACCACATCTTTTATGTTTGTATCCTCAACAATTAGTACTCAGTATATGGGAGTAAGAAATGTCTATTGAAAGAGTATCTGGTCTTTCTTTTTTTTAAGATTTTATTTATTTATTTGTCAGAGAGAGCACAAGCAGGGAGAGTGGCAGGTAAAGGGAGCAGGCTCCCCGCTGAGCAGGGAGCTCGATGCAGGACTTGATCTCAGGACCCTGGGATCATGACCTGAGCCAAAGGCAGATACTTAACCAACTGACCCACTCAGTGGTCCCAGTATCTGCTCTTTCTTAATTTTCCATAGTATTAACCACTGCATCTTAGATTTGAGGTACTCATATTTAAATTAGCACGTAATGAACACTGTGCTCAGTCCCTTAATTATTTGATATGGTGTTCCCCAATCCTTCCATAAGTCGAAAAACTTCTTAAGAGCTAGTTCCCAATGTTTACTATTTCTGTACTCTTTAGCACCTGTAGTATTAAGCACATGGTAAGCACTCAATAAATACTTGATGAACTGAATTTAAAACATAGTATTAGCACATTAATAGGAGCAATTTATCATGCTCTACCGATTTAATTAAAAGATCTGGCCTTCTGAAGGAGTACAATTGTACTCATATGGAAAATTTAATGAGAAAAAGAAAAATTATCCAATTGGACAGTTAAAAGCTTTTCTCTTAGTGAGAGTTCCACAAATATTTTATGGATAACCAGAGCTCAGAGTAAAAGACTCAAGCTATATATCCCCATGCATATTGGAAGTAAGATTACAAGTTTAAGGGGTCTGCCGAAACCATAATTACTTGAATTCCACTAACCCTTAACAAATTCATAATAGAAGACATAAAAATATTTAATAGCAAATCAATCAATGTCAAATCAACCTATGCTAAAGATGTATAGGGCTATCTCTGCATGATATATAACATGGCAGTCATTTACTCATTCAACAAACATTTATTAAGTCCCTACGAATGACAAGTGCTACGTTAGGTCCTAAAATCACAAAGATAGGAGCACCTGGCTGGCTCAGTCGGTAGAGCATGCGACTCTTGATCTCAGGGTTGTAAGTTCAAACCCCATGTTGGGTGCAGAGATTACTTAAAAATAAAATCTTTAAAAAAAATAATAAATAAATAAAATTACAAAGATTTAGAGAACACAGTTCCTATGTTGGGAGTTGCAGCTTTGCCATGCTGCAATGGTATCTAAGAATACAACGTGATGGGTGTAGAACCTACTTTAAAAAAAAAAGAGAGAGGGGTGCCTAAGTGGCTCAGTCGGTTAAGCAACTGCCTTCGGCGCAGGTCACGGTCCCAGGGTCCTGGGATGAGTCCCACATCAGGCTCCCTGCTCCGCAGGGAGGCTGCTTTTCCCTCTCCCTCTGCCGTTCCCCCCGTTTGTGCACTCTCTTTCTCTCTCTCTGTGTCAAATAAAATAAAATCTTTAAAAAAAAATAGAATACAACGTGAAACATACCACAGGAGTTGCTCAACATGGAGGTTCTAGGTAGCATCTGGTGGAAAAGATGGATAAACACGTACCTTTGGCAATGGCATCAGCCTTAACCCAGAAATAAGTACAAGATGTTATGAGGCCACAGAGGAGAAAATAATTAACCTACTGAAGAAATCAGGAAAAGATATGGAAGACACTGACATCCATACATGAATTCAATGCAAGTCACGGTGTGAGAAAGCTACAACAGAAACATCTGAAACAGAATCAAACCTGAAACTAGGGTTGCAAGCAGGGTCAGAAGGATTCCAAAGCAAACCAATCCAACTCATAGCAAACCACTGTAGAAGAGCCAAAAAGTAAAATACTCTTTGCTGTTAAGCTTGAGAGTAATGAAACACATACACAAAAGAAATTAAACCACCACAGGGTATAAGTATAAAAGGATTCTTTTAAACAATATATGGCATAAAAGTTCAAAGGGAGCCAATCAGTAAGAGTTAGAGAGAGCTATTAGGAAAACCTTCATAAAAGTAGAGTTAGAACTATCATCGGTGGGGAGAGGAGCACAGGGAGGGCTGTCCACATGCTGAGAAAGACCAATGTCATTAACAAAAGCAGAGATCTGAACTACACAGTTGTGGGACCGTGAGGAGGTCCAAGGATTTGGAAGCACTGGGTAAAAATTGGACACACGAATGAAGGCCTGATTTAGCAGAGCCTGGAACACAGGCCTAGTGGCTTGGACACTGTTCTAGACTCAGTAGTTGTCAACCATGCCTGCTAAATAGAAACACCTGGGGAACTTTAAAAATTATACCTCTGGCGACTGATTACCTGTTGAAGCTTATCTTCTAACCTGAGTTAAACATTCTGTTTTCTTAGTGTTTCTTTTCCCTTGTTGACAATGCTAAGCTCTGAAAATTAGAAAATAACCCATCAACTTCTCCCCACGTGATGGGTCCATGGACTGCACAGTCTGAAACTTAGAATTTTATTTCCATGATGTCCTACAGACAACTAACTTAGAAAATAAATACTTCAATCCTATGCTGCCCTTATATCCCTGTAGTGAAGTGTTTTCATATTAAGGAATGTTCTAGGCTGCATCCATGTTTGGATTTTACAAAATTTCTCTTTTAAATATAGAGAGAGTGTAATACCTACATGTACAAGAATATTACTTAGGCCACAGCAAAATGTGAGATTAAGTATTCATTCTTGTAGTACCAAAGACATTATATACTATTCTTGGTTTCAGATGTGCAATGATTACAAAGTACTTTGATTATTTTGTAACAAATAGTGTCAGAATACTTCACAAATAAAGGGAAACAACAAATGTATCGCATACACTAACTCTGTGCTACATTAACCAGTGTTTGTGGGAGAAAAAAACATCAAGATGTTTAGAGAGTATGACAGCCTGTTGATCCTTCAAAAATCAGGTTGGATGGTTTGCTCACTTGTTTTTAAAGAAAAAGCAAAGATACGAATATGCTTCAGGGTCCATGTTACTCACCAAAGTGTCTATTCAAGAAATGTGTACTTGGCTTATAGGTAAGCAACTGTCTTCTTTATGCGAAATCAAGTTAGCCACAACTATCTTATTTTTGGTGGTGTTAGGTCACTATATCTACCTAATGGTAAAAATGGTGTGGAGAACATAAGTTGGAAGCCCATAGCACACACATAGGTAGGTTTGTGCAGTTTCTTATTTGCAGATAAAGTTGATAAACTCGAAGGACCATATCCCAACGGAACCGTGGGGGGCAGTGAGTACAGGAAAATCCAACAATCAAAATGTGAAACATGAAAAAGAAATATGGAGCCAGATTTCAAGAACTGACCATTCGCTTGTACCGATTCTATTTAAAAAGGAAAAGAAAAGCTTCTAAAAAGAAAACGCAAGCCTAACTCTCTGACTATAGGGGTGAGACTTAAAAAGCAAGTCGCATAAGTCTGACCAGTGGGTCCGAGGAAAAAATCAGAGAGCAAGGAAAGAAGAGAGGACGAAGGAGACAGGAAAAGGTGAAGGAGGGAGGCAAAGGCCATCCGGTGTGAACCTGGATGCCCGGGTCTTTATGCACCCAGGGCAGCGTGGAGCCTCTCTCGCCCCGCGCGTATCTGGGGGCCGGGCCGCAGCCCGAGTCCCCCACCCGCCTGGCACCAGGGGGCGCGGGGCGCCAGAGGTCGGGGGGAAGAGGGGCAGGCGCAGCGCCCACGCTCGCACCCCACCAGGCTCTGCACTCAGGGGTCCCCAAGAGGGAGACACACTCTGCGAAGCCCTCGTCTCCCGGACCGGGAGGGGGTGGGTGGAGCAGAGCCCGGAGCCGCCCCCCGGAGCCGCCCCCGCAGCCCCGGCCCCCGCCCCCCGCCCCGGCTGTCAGCGGCCCCCTCCCGCAGTCACTCACCCGCGGGCTGCGCGGTCTCGGCCGCGGCGGCAGCGGCGGCGGCGACCCCCGCCTGGGTCATGATCCCAAGCGGGTACGGCAGGGGTGTCCGACCGCCCGGGCGAATCTCTCCGTCCGCAGCCGCCGCCTGCTCCTCTGGGGCTGGGGGAGCGCGGGCCCAGGCCCTCCTCTCCCCCCGCCCCCGCCGCCTCTTCTTGCGGCCACCGCCGCCGCTGCGAGCCCAAGCCCTCAAGGCCGGAGACCCGGCGGCAGCTCGGCCTCAACTTTCCCAGCCCCCCTCCCCCCGCCCCTCCCCGCCCCTCCCCGCCCCTCCCGCGGCCGCCGCTCGGCACGCGAACAGCCTACCCTGAGTGCGCCGCGCTCCCGCCCCTGCCACTCAGCCCACCAACCCGGCCCCGGGGAGGCTGCCGTGGTAGCCAATCAGAACCCGGACACCGATGCGCTAGGCTAGAGGGCGGGAGGAGATGGAGGGAAAACCGAAGAGTGAACGGGCCTCGGGCGGCCCAATGAGGAGGGCCGGGGGGCGGAGGTGTGCAAGTTGGGTTGAAGGAACAGGAAATATTCTTAAAGGTAGAGTGATGGGCAGCAAGGAAAGCCAGTAGGTGACTGAGGGAGAGGTGGGCCTGGTTCCTTAAAGGGGACGCCTTGAGACCCTAGAAAAGGAGGTGTTTTTAGAAACTACTTTGTATCTTGTTCTCTGCGCTTCCTGTCACCTCTTTCAACAGTTTGGAAGTGGAAAAACTGAAAAGGAAGAGGGCATGGGAGGCTTGCAGGAACGATTAGAGAGCTCCTCTTAGCTTAGAGGGTAGGAAGGAGAATGATGCCTCCGTCACAAGAAGTGGGGAAGAAGAGAATCCAGACGTCTCGACTGCGCTCGAATTTGTAGGATATGGTAATCTGTCATCCTTCATTTGCAACAAAGCACAGATTCCTTAGAAGTGGAGATGACCGTGTTCAGAAACGTCCTGGGGGCCTCCCAATTGGGGGAAAACAGTATGTGGCATTGGGGGATGGGGTTGGGAACTTCAAGCTTGCGTTCCTAGAGACCTACATTTGAGAGGTGTAGAGCAGCGAGCGAGTAATGGATGGAGACCCGAGGGTCCCCTAACTCCCAAATGGGTTTGGAGCTCTGGAAACGTGATCATAACTCCCTTTTCCTCTTTTCGCTTCGTATTTCATAACTCTTCCCCCTCTTGAAACAGGTGTCCTCCACCTAGTGGTAGTGAAAGATTTCCAGGCGCTTCCACAACCAGGTTTGGAATTGTCCCAGATATTAGATGTCCATGGGCCAGACCAGGTAACTTCCAGAAGGTGCACACAGGGCATGGCACGTTGGGAATTATTTGAGCCTGTGTACAGAAGATGCTGACCTTCTATTGAGAAAAAAGTGTAAAGTTAAACAGTAACTGCATCTTAATGTTTGTACAGCAGTTTATAAAGAATATGATAAAACAGAAAGCCGTTAACGTTGCTTATAAACTGTGGAACTTTTACACTTTTTTTCTTTAAAATTTTCATCTATCTCGGCATATATAGTTCTAATTAGCCTCTGAATGGACTTAGCACAACCAAATCAAAGCTGCAGGTGAGAAAGACTCTACAATTCAGAACCTAATAGTAATGCTAATAGCACCTCCATGAAATTATAGAGTATTAATATGTCCAGCTGTAGGAAATAATTTCCACTGTGATCAGAATACAAGGTATTCTTGTTAAGAAACTATTCTGGTTGGGGCACCTGGGTGGCTCAGTCCGTTATGCGGCTACCTTTGACTCAGGTCATGATCCCGGGGTCCTGGGTTGGAGCCCAGCAACAGGCACCCTGCTCAGACCCCGGCCCTGCTTCCCCCCTCCCCCTTGAACCCCCCCCCCCCCCCCCCCCCCCCCCCCCCGCCCCCGCGCTCGTGCTCTCCCTCTGTCTCTCTCAAATAAATAAATAAAATCTTAAAACTATTCTGGTTAATAAATATCATATCCAGGGTGTGTATGATTTTCTGAACAACTACAGTTTATCGAGTCTAAAGTAAAATAAGTTTTGATGGTTCAAGAAAACAGAATTTAAGAGTTTCTTTGGACCACTGTTAAAAATAACACATGAACGCCTTCCTAGCACAATTTAGAAGTGTTAAATAAGAAGAGTTTCTGTTTGATAAGATCGAATGTTAGCTTTTTAATGTTATCGTCATTCCTAACTGAAGGTTAAATCCTAATCATAGATCTTTCTATTGGCTTTGTGCATTCAACATCGGTTTACTGCACTGGATAGGAGAGGATGACATCAAATAACCGCACCAGTCCAATTTTCGGGCTAGCTGTCATGTGTTTGCTGTACATATACTGGTGATAAAATACCGTGGCCAAGTGAAACTGGTCTCCCTGCCTCCAGGCCAAGTCTATTTTTCACACGGTCCGGGTGACTCCGGTTTTCACTCACATACTTAAGACCCTTCAGTGGCTCTGAAAGACTGTTTGCATGAGGTACAAGCCCCTTGCTTGCATCTTCAATTGCATTTCCTAACAACTCTTTTTCTCTATTGCTGGGGATGTTTGACTAGGAAAGGTGGACTCTGACAGCACGCCGGAGGGCGTGGTCTGGGGAGTTGCGGCTCGGCAGGGCTGCTCTCAGCTCTCCTATCTGTCCCCTTCGTGTCCCCAGAGGCAGGGGCTGTGCAGTGTGCCTCCTTCCTGGGAACCCGAGTGCGGGGCCTGGTGGGGCGCGAACACGAGCGGTGTGCTGTCGTCCTCTTCCCGACTTCTGGGCGCATCGCGCCCTTTGGTGCCAGGTCCGTGGGGTCTCCCTCGGAGCCCCGAACGCTGATCTGCGAGCTGGGCGACAGAGGCTCCAAGCTGGCGTTCTTCTTTCTGGAAGATTTCAGAAATAAATGGCAGAGAGGCAAGTGAATGGTCATCTCTTGAAACCAACTTCCGTATTTCCCGTGGAAACTGCCCAATTGTTTTCCAGCGTGGTTGATTTTCAACAGCTATGTATGCAGATTCCAGAGAGTCCACGTCATCACCAAACCTGGATATTGTCAGTCTTTTTTTTTTAATTTTTTATTGTTATGTTAATCACCGTACATTACATCATTAGTTCTTGATGTAGTGATCCATGATTCATTGTTTGTGCATAACACCCAGTGCTCCACGCAGAACGTGCCCTCTTTAATACCCGTCACCAGGCTAACCCATCCCCCCACACCCCTCCCCTCTAGAACCCTCAGTTTGTTTCTCAGAGTCCATCGTCTCTCATGGTTCGTCTCCCCCACCCCCCCCCCGACTTACTCCCCTTCATTCTTCCCCTCCTGCTATCTTCTTCTTTTCCTTTTTTCTTAACATATGTTGCATTATTTGTTTCAGAAGTACAGATCTGTGATTCAACAGTCTTGCACAATTCACAGCGCTCACCATAGCACATACCCTCCCCAATGTCTATCACCCAGCCACCCCATCCCTCCCACGCCCCCCAACTCCAGCAACCCTCAGTTTGTTTCCTGAGATTAAGAATTCCTCATATCAGTGAGGTCATATGATACATGTCTTTCTCTGACTGACTTATTTCACTCAGCATAACACCCTCCAGTTCCCTCCACGTCGTTGCAAATGGCAAGATCTCATTCCTTTTGATGGCTGCATAATATTCCATTGTGTATATATACCACATCTTCTTTATCCATTCATCTGTCGATGGACATCTTGGCTCTTTCCACAGTTTGGCTATTGTGGACATTGCTGCTATAAACATTCGGGTGCACCTACCCCTTCGGATCCCTACATTTGTATCTTTGTGGTAAATACCCAGTAGTGCAATTGCTGGATCGTATGGTAGCTCTATTTTCAACTGTTTGAGGAACCTCCATATTGTCAGTCTTATTAATTCCAGCCATTATAGTGGGAATGACGTGGTTCCCCATGATTTTAATTTGCATTTCTCTAATTACTAGTTATGTTGAGAATATTTTTGCCTGTTTATTGGCCAGTTGCATCTTTGGTAAAGTGTTCAAATCTTTTTTTTTTTTTAAGATTTTATTTATTTATTTGAGAGAGAGAGAGGGAAAGAGAGCATAAGTGGGGGGAGGAGCAGAGGGAGAGGGAGAAGCAGGCTTCCCGCTGAGCAGGGAGCCCAATACGGGGCTCATCCCAGGACCCTGAGATCATGACCTGAGCTGAAAGCAGACGTTTAACGACTAAGTCATCCAGGCGCCCCAAGGGTTCAGATCATTAGCCCACTTTTAAATCAGGATGCTTGTCTTACAGAATTGTGAAAGTTCTTTGTATGTTCTCGATAAAAAGTCCTTTCTCAAATATGTGCTGTGCAAATATCTTCACCCATCTGTGATTTTACAAATCAAAAACAAAATAGTTTTACTGAGGTATGACTGACCATCAACAAATTGAACATATTTAAAATGTACGAGATGGGGCCCCTGGCTGGCTCAGTTGGTAGAGCATGTAACTCTTGTTCTGGGGTCCAGAATTCAAGCCCCATGTTGGGTATAGAGCTTACATTAAAAATAAATACATAAATAATAAATAAAATGTATAACAGTGGTAAGTTTTGACATATGTATACACCTTTGAAACCATCTTCACAATCAAAAATAATATATCCATCCTGTCCTCAAATTTTCTCATTCTCCATGTTAATTCCTTCCTCTTGCTCTCATCCTGTTCTCCAGGCAACCATTAAACTGCTTTTTGTTGCTATAATTCGTTTTCATTTTCTAGAATTTTATGTAAATGGAATCATTTAGTGTATAATCTTTTTTGTCCATCTTCTTTCATTCAGCATACCATTTTTTTGAGATTCATCTGCTTTGTTGTGTGTATCAATAATTTATTAGGTTTTGTTGCTAAGTAGTATTCAATTGTATGGATATGTTATCTATATTCAGGTTGGAGAAGAGCTGGACTGTTTGTAATTTTTGACTATTACAAATAAAGATGCTAGAACATTTGTGCACAAATCTTTCTAGGGACATTTGCTTTCATTTTCCTTGGTTAGTACTTGGGTAAATATCCAGTGGAATGGCTGAGTCATATGGTAAGTGTATCTTTTCTAAAAAACTGCCAAACTTAGTCATAAAAAACTGAGATCTTGCTATTTGCAACAACATGGGTGGGCCTAGAGGGTATTATGCTAAGTAAAATAAGTCAGACAGAGAAAGACAAATATCACATGATTTCACTCATATGTGGAATCTAAAAAACAAATCAAATGAACAAACAACAACAACAAAAACCAGAAACAGACTCGAAAATAC